TGTCACCCTCCACACAAGAACTGCTAGTCTTTTAGAGAAAAAAAAAAAAAAAGAAGAGTTCTTTTTCTTGGTATGCACCTACTTCCAAGTATGGCGGTGCATGCCTGTTGTCCCAGCTATTTGGAAAGCTGAGGCAGGAGGATCTCTTGAGCCCAGGACTCGGGGTCAGCACTTGCCTAGCACATTCGAGGCACTGGGTTTGATCCTAAGCACTGCATAAAAATAAATAAAACAAAATAATGGTATTGTATCCATCTACAATTTTTAAAAAATTTAAAAATGACAAAAAAACCTATCACAATTTAATATTTATACTTCTTTCCTCTGCTTACAAAAATATAATAAATATTCCCTTTTCACTTAAATGAAGCATTTTGTAGCTCCTCTTTGGTACAACCAAAGTGTCAGTATTGCTACTCTTGCACTTTGGGACTGTTATTTAGTAAAATAAGGGTTACTTGAATATAAGCACTGCAATACTTTGAGTGTACCTAATAATTAAGACAGCAACAAAGTGACTACTGGGGGAATAGCATATACTGTATGGATACACTGAATAAAGGAATGATTTATGTCCCATCCAGGATGGAGTAGGATGGCTTGAGATTTTATCACACTACTCAGAATGACTATTTGAAACATAAATTTTTTTCTTGGAATCTACTATTTAAAAATTTCAGACCACTGTTGACTGTGGAGAATGAAACCTTGGATAACTGGGGACTAGTATAATGTACTTACTGTGTCCAGGACAATTTTAAAATGTGACGTTGAGCCAGGAGTGGTGATGCACACCTGTAGTTCCAGCTGTTCAGAGGCTAAGTCAGGAGGCTCACTTGAACCCAGCAGTTCAAGACCACCCTGGACAACAGAGTTGAGAGCTTGTCTTTACACACACACACACACACACACACACACCACAAAACCTAATGTTTATACTTCTTTGCTTACAAAAATATGACATGCCTCACACATACACACAGAGCAGCTGCTAATATAGGAGGAAAGGCTTGCAGTCCCACCCAGCAGAGTCCTGTCTGGGACAGTTTAGGATGGGAGACAAAGTTCAGCCTCAGCCTGGAGCCGTGAAGCATGAACAGCTCTGATCCGGTCCTGTCAGAGGTGGGGACTGGGCTAGTACAACCAGCCCTCCATATCCGTGGTTCCAAGTTCATGGATTCAACCAAACTCATATTGAAAATATTTGGGGCTGAGGCTATAGCTCAGTGGAAAAGCGCTTGCCCCGCATGCATGAGGCACTGAGTTCGATCCTCAGCACCACGTAAAAATACATAAAGATGCTGTGTGTTCATCTACAACTAAAAATATATTTTTAAAAAATATTTATTTTTTTAGTTGTAGTTGGACACAATACCCCTATTTCACTTATTTATTTTTATGTGGTGCTGAGGATCGAACCCAGTGTCTTGCACGTGGGAGGCAAGCGCTCTACCGCTGAGCCACAAACCCAGCCCCACTAAAAATATTTTTAAAAAACATTTGGAGGGGCTGGGGATGTGGCTCAAACTGTAGCTCGCTCGCCTGGCATGTGCTGGGTTCGATCCTCAACACCACATAAAAATAAAAATAAAGATATTGTGTCCACCTAAAAATAAAAAATAAAAAATTTGTAAAAAATTGTGTTTGTACAGAACACATAGCCATTTTTCTTTTCCTTATTCCCTAATCTATATACCAACTGTTTTACATAGCATTAAGTCATTTAGAGATGATCCAAAGTCTATGAGAAAATGAGTTGTTATAAGAACAAACTCAACCCCTGAATGACTCTCTAGCGTTCTTGTTTGGTGATGTGATTTCTCTCTTTCTTTCTCCCTCCCTCCCTCTTGTACACTTCCACCATCTGCTGAGGTCCTCACTGGAGTTAAGCTGATTCCAGAACCATGCCGTTGCATCTCTAGAGCTGGAAGCCAAACAAATTTCTTTTCTTTATAATGTTAGACCAATTCAGGTTTTTCATTATAGTAATGAAAAATGGACTAATGAAAATCACAACAATAGAAGCTGTTTTCCAGGCATTGGGCAGGTTTTCTGGGACCGAATCCCACAAAGCTTTGAGAATTAAGGCTCAGAGTAAGAGCAGACTTTCTCCCCAGGATTGGATTTCTGTATATGGTGTGAGGTAAGGATCAAGTTGGTTTTATCCCATGTGGATATCCAGTTGTTCCAGAACTGAAAAAGCCTATCTTTGCTGGGCCTCACCCAGGTAACCAGAGACAGATCAGGGATTCCAACTCGTGTCCATCTGACCCAATCAGGAACAGTCTCCAGGTCTCCTGTGAGCTGTCCTTAGGGTCAGCTAAACAAGCTTTGCTCCATCAGCAAACTGGAGTACTTTTTAAGGTCACAAGCATTTACCAAAGGAAGCAGGGTAGAGAGATTCGGGCCAGCTCCCCTGTGCTTCCTTCCTACAGGGACAGTGAAGTGTCCCCTTCTGCCTTCTGCCCACCCTGACCTCACCTTGTTGTATTTTTTCCTTTTCCTGCCCTCTTCCCAGAAGCCATGGGTACACTGCCCATGCAGAACACCTCCACTAAGGGGAAGTTCAGGCTCGTGCTCAAGGCCAGCACCTTGACAACCGCCAGTCATTCCAAGAAGAACTGCCCCAACATGAGGTCCATGCTGCAATCCCTGCCTGCCACCAAGGGTCAGGATCGCAGGGTGTGGCCAGGCCCCCAGCCGCTCTCAAACTCGCCCAGTTAACTCAAATCTCTGAAATGAGGGAGAGGCTCTGTGAAGCAGGAAATTCAGGAATCTGACTAGATTCCTCCCTAAACCTCCAGAACATTTTCTCACTTGACCAACTTCTCGTGCCCCAACCACCATGCAGACAGGCCATCTTTCCAGGAGGCTGTCCCAGGTCGTTCTTGGCCTCCCCAATACCACTCTCCCATAGTGCTTTCTCCCTATGGCAACCCCAGGGAGCATTCCAGAATTTAAAATTCCAGCTAAATTCAAAATGGGCCTGTGGCTCCCATCATCCTCTAAGATATTCTGACCCTATCTTCTTGCAGCCCTGAGGCCCCCTCATTCCCCTGTTGCATACCTACCACCTCTCCATTTTTTTCAAATACACACAGTTCCTTCCCACCTCAGGGCCTTGGTACATGCTGTTCCCTCTACCTAGGATGTGCTTCCGCCAGATCTGTGTGTGCCTGCTCTTTTGGATCTCAGCTCAAGTATCCCCTCCCAGTGTCTCCACCCATCCCAGAGACAGTAGCCTCCCAGCCATGTCACTCAGGCCAACCCAGTTTCCTGTTTGATTTCCTTCTGTGTTCAAATTGCCCTTCAGCTTCTGCTTGTTTATATGTACAGCTGGTCCTCTGGATTGTGGGCTCCATATCTGTGGATTCAGTCAACCGTGGTTCAAAAACCTGGGGAAAAAACTGTGTCTATACTGAACGTGTACTAACTTTTTTTTCTTTTCATTATTTCATAAACAATTGAAGAGAAGAAGGCAGTTTGGGCCTCAGGACCCTCTTTATTCCCATTAAAGGAGCACCCACCAGACCCTGAGCCTCACAGTGGCCTTAGATGGGGAAATTGAGGCAGAGAGAAGGGAGCTGAGGCTGGGGTCTCCTCCCTGGAATGGACAGAGGAGGTGCTGAGGAGGTGAGGCTCCAGGAGGTGGTTTTGCCACAGAGCGAGGAGGGGTCCCTCTGAGGCCAGGCTGGCTCTGCACCCTACAGGACAACAGCAAGGGGCCACTCGCTCCTCTTCTGAAAGCTTCCAAGCGCCAGGCACAGCTGGCCCGTTTTCTCATGCTTTCCTCCCTTCAAGCATCAACACACAGAACCAATCAATGTGCTTTCAGGGTCATGCCTTCTCCCTCCCTTGTTCACGGCCCCATCTTTGGTCAGAGGGCCTCTTAGGATCTGCTCTGGAGACCTTCACCATGACCTTATTTTCTGGTCCCACCAGATGCCTGCGGCTTGTCTGGCCTGTGTCCCGCTCTGTCTTGGGATTGGCTGTTTCTCCAGAATCCCTCGACCCTTTTGTGGGACACGGCACCTAGAGACCTTAGCTGGAGTTAGGGGTGCTCTCCAGGTCCTTTGTAGTTCTGGAGATGGAGCCTGGAACCCAGGGCCTCATGCACAGTAGGCAAGTCTCCACCCAGAGCCTCCCTCCAGCCCCAGGCCTCCTCCCTGGACACAGAGAGGATGTGCCTTTCCTTTCTGAGAGATGATACATTATATGTTAGACCAGTATTGCCAATTTCCTTATTTAGGATCACAGGATTTTATTTAACTGCATTGCCTTTATACTTGGACTTCTTTCCTCTAACACTAAAATCTGGGTTCCTAACAACATTAACATTATTTTATTTTCTTTATGCAAAAATACATAGAATAATTTCAGACTGGTAATGCCAGCAATTATAGCTAACACTATGATTGTCAAAAACAGCTTAAGATTTGCAATTCTTATGCACAACCAGACGAATGAGAAGTTATACTCCATCTATGTATGCTGTGTCAAAATGCATTCTATTGTCGATTAAAACTAGAACAAATTTTTTAAAAATTAAAAAAAGATCTGCAATTCTTTTTTTGCCTTGGGGTGTATCCTACCAGGGAATATGTGGATAGTGTGCTCAATATACTGTGCTTCAGCCAGGAGCAGTGGCACACACCTGTTATTCCAGCAACTGGGGAGGCTGAGGCAGGAGGATCACAAGTTCAAGGTCAGTCTGGGTACTCAGTGAGACCCTGTCTCAAAACATAAAAAGGGCTGGGGATGTAGCCCAGTGGGAGAGCACCCTTGGGTTCAGTCTCAGCACTGAAAAAAACCTACTGTGTTTTAAAGTCATTCAAAATAATTCCTATTTGTGTGGTTGAGCTGTCAACTCCAAATCACAACCGCCGGCTCATTTTCATTTCAAGTTTCTCTGGTTCTCTCTTTCTCTCCTTCTCCTCCTTTAATTTGGTTTTGGTTTCAGAGTCATGTTGACAAAAATAAGATAAACTCAAAGACATCCAGCCTCCATAAGCCTGTTCCTTTTATCCTATTTCTTTTTTTTTTTCTCTTAAATTTTGAAGTTCATTCTTCCATTTTAAATATAAGCAAGGAGGGACTGGGTGCAGCTCGGTGGTAGAGCACTTGCCAAGCATGCATAGAGCCCTGGGTTCCCATCGCTGCCCTGCTGGAAAAAAAATAAAGTGAGAAAGACACAAGCAGATAAAAATACATTCATATTCTGCCTTAGATGAGGGACAGCCTATACCATGCGCTTTTCTCTAACCTGAGTTCACTCTGATGCTAACGCGCTTATTGGTTTTGGTTCTGGGGATTGCACCCAGGTGCGTTCTACCAATGAGCTTCATCCTCATCCCTTTTTATTGTTTAAAGTTTCCCAGGCTGGCCTCAAACGTGTGATCCTCCTGCCTCAGCCTCCTGAGTAGCAGAGATTACCCGTGTGCGCCACCACGCCCAGCGTGATGCTGAGGACTCTAAACATGGACTGGAATTTATCAACATGGTATTATTCTGTTTGGGCTAAGCGGGGAAAAAAAGAAAGAAAGAAACCCAGAAGGTAGTAGACCATTTTGCTAGTACCAGTTATTTCAGGGCATTGGTTTTATTTTTTAAATTTCATCCACTTGATAGATATTTATGGAGATATTTATGGTACACTCAGGGTGTACACAGATCACTGTCACCCGGGGCAAAAACAGTATCTGAATTTAGTTTTCTGTGCCAATGTTTTTAAATTTACCAGTGAATACCAGGAGCAAATAAACAAGTAATAAAAATTCATTGAGGGAATGAAATGCTTCTGCCCGGGATCTGTTTAGATCATTTACATTATGCACGCCTGTGTTTCCTGAAACTGTTTTCATAGTGAACACTCATTACTCTGGCAACCAGGAATGGCGATAGCTGGGGCAGGGGCTCAGGGGTAGAGATCTTGCCTGGAACATGTGAGGCTCCAGGGCTGGGTTCCATCCTTGGCACCATGACGTCAGAGAAGAAAACTTGTAAAGCTGCGTCCATTAGAGAATGCATGCCCTGCTCGTATGTCCATGCCCCTCCCCATGCCCCGTCAGCGCCATCTGCCTTCACACCTCCATTCTGGTTCCTCCAGCCCCAGCTCCCCTCAGCCTCTTCCCAGGCCTGGGACCCACAGAGCCCAGCTCAGGGGGCCTAGTGCAGGGCTGGGCTCCTGGTCAATGTGTATTAAGATGGGACGTATTGATTTCCAGGAGGGGAAACAGGCTCAGAGAGGTCAAGTGACCTGTCCAGTGTCACATAGCGACACACAGCTCTCTGCCCTTGCTGCCCCCTGGAGTGGACTCAGGCTAAGTCCAGATTCCTTTCCTGGGACCTTTTTGCTGGGCTTACAAGACACTGCATCCCCCCAACCCCGGAGACATATTCAGTTCCTCAATGGGCCACACCAGAAATTACTCCACTTCCTGGCACCCAGCTCACACTGGTTCTGTTGGGCCTCCAAGCAGCCTAGACCTCAGGCCTGGTCCTCAAGGAGTCCCTAGTCTGGAGGCAGAGCCAGACTCCGTGTTTACTCTTACCACCATGGGTTCAGGCCTGGGCTGCACAAAGGAACTGCAAGAGCCTAGAGGGCTGCCTGGAGGAGGGGCCATGAGCTGGGCTTGAAGAATGAGTGGGAGGAGGCTGGACAGAGTGGAAAGGCAGCTGGGTGGACACGCAGATTTGGATGATGTGGGCTTGTGTGGGTGGATGGAGAGGAAGGAGAATGGTGGAGCAGCATGGAGGAATGGGGGCTGGGGAGGGGAGGGGAGGAGATGGGTAGATGGTGGACAGAAGACACAGTGATGGTTGGGAGTGAGGGAAGGGCGGGTGGGGAGATGGCTGACTGGGTGGATAGATGGATGGCTGGCTGGATGGATGGGATGGATATATGGATGGATGGATAGGATGGATGGGTGGACAGAAGGATGGATGGATGGATAGGATGGATGGGATGGATTAATGGATAGGATGGATGGATTAATGGATGGATGGATGGATGGATAGGATGGATGGATGGATGGATGGATGGATAGGATGGATGGATGGATGGATGGATGGATAGATGGATGCATGGATAGGATGGATGGATGAATGGATGGATGAATGGATAGGATGGATGGGATGGATGGATGGATAGGATGGATGGGTGGATGGGATGGATGGATGGATGGATAGGATGGATGGATGGATAGGATGGATGGATGGATGGATGGGATGGATGGATGGATAGGATGGATGGATGGATAGGATGGATGGATGGATGGATGGATAGGATGGATGGATGGATGGATGGGATGGGATGGATGGATGGATGGATGGATGGATAGGATGGATGGATGGATGGATGGGATGGATGGATGGATAGGATGGATGGATGGATAGGATGGATGGATGGATGGATGGATGGATAGGATGGATGGATGGATGGATGGGATGGATGGATGGATAGGATGGATGGATGGATAGGATGGATGGATGGATGGATGGATAGGATGGATGGATGGATGGATGGATGGATAGGATGGATGGATGGATGGATGGATAGGATGGATGGGTGGATGGGATGGATGGATGGATGGATGGATAGGATGGATGGATGGATAGGATGGATGGATGGATGGATGGGATGGATGGATGGATAGGATGGATGGATGGATAGGATGGATGGGATGGATGGATGGATAGGATGGATGGATGGATAGGATGGATGGATGGATGGATGGATGGATAGGATGGATGGATGGGTGGATGGGATGGATGGATGGATGGATGGATGGATAGGATGGATGGATGGATGGATGGGATGGATGGATGGATGGATGGATGGATGGATAGGATGGATGGATGGATGGATAGGATGGATGGATGGATGGATAGGATGGATGGGTGGATGGGATGGATGGATGGATGGATGGATAGGATGGATGGATGGATGGATGGATGGATAGATGGATGGATGGATAGGATGGATGGATGGATAGGATGGATGGATGGATGGATGGGATGGATGGATGGATAGGATGGATGGATGGATGGATGAATGGATGGATAGGATGGATGGATGGATAGGATGGATGGATGGATGGATGGATAGATAGATGGATGGGTGGATAGGATGGATGGATGGATGGATAGGATGGATGGATGAATGGGATGGATAATGGATGGATAGATGGACAGATGGGGGATGTGTGAGTGAACAAACAAGAGGTGGATTGGAAGGGTGGGGCTTGGACTGCCATGTTTTCTAAGCATGCTGGCTACCCCCAGAGAGCCCCGTATAGACAGCCTCCATGGTGGGGGCTCCAGCATGCCTGTGCATGGCAGCCCATCTCCAGCCTGCCCTCCACGGGGCTTTCCCAGGGCCCCTCCTCCTGCCAGACTCCAGACTCCTGCTCTTTATTCAGGGTCTGGTGCTGCTCTACACCATGGAGTCCCACACCGGCAGGTACCACAGCTGCCAGGGGGCGGAGGTCTTCAGCAGGTATGACTTGGAAGTCACCGTGACCAGTTACACTGTGTGACATGGACTCCAGCATCACCATGGTGTCCCAGCTGCTCTCTGAAAGGTGCCCCCAATCCATACCACCCTGAATGTGCCCAATCTCATCTGAATGAGCCCCTACAGGTGTGGCCGCTCTCCTGGGTCGATACGCCTGCATTTACCCACGTGTTCCTCACTCACACGTGCAGCCAGGTCCCCAGGAAGGCCCCACCTCCCTGCACCCCAAGGATGCTAACTGCTGACTCCTTAGCACCCACCACCTGGATTTCCACTCCCCCTACTTCTGCGCATCACCTCCTTTGGCGTTGCCCCCAGAACAGCAGTGCCCCCAAGAGACCCCTGAGGGCTCAGCCTAGCACCAGCTCAGAAGAACCCCAAAACCTGAAGAACCACAGATATGATGGGATGGTGGAGCAGATGGCTAGGGGTACTGACGCCCCTTCCCTAACTCTGGCCTTTTGATTCCTATTTACTTTGGGATTTATTTATTTAACAGAGTTAAGGGATTTTGAGAAGTGGGGCAAGATTTTTTTTTTTTTTGGAGCTGCTGAGAATGGAGTCCAGGGCCCTCACACATGCTAGGCTAGTGCTCGCACTGAGCTACATCCGCAGCCCTTTTTATATGATTTTATTTTGAGGCAGGATCTCACTAAGTTGCTGAGGCCGGTCTTGAACTTGCGATCCTCCTGCCTCAACCTTCTAAGTGGCCAGGATTGCAGGTGTGGGCCACCATGCCCAGCTTGCATGTAACCCTTCTGGTCCTTCCTGTAGGGGTCCTCCCTCCCCAGCCTGCGTCCCCTGTGACCCCCTCCGGGGGTGGAGGATCTCCCTGCTTCCGGAAGCAGATGTTTCCCTCCCATTGGTGCCTGGGATCTCAGTGATAAGACCCGGAGCCGGCCGTCAGGGCCTTGTGAGGGAGAGGAAGGCAGGACAGGACAGGAAGGGGTTATTGAGATGAGCTTCCTCCCCAAGGCCCTGGGAGGGATATGAGCTCTGAGCCTGTGGCCATCCCTAGAAAAATAATGAAAGTGATAATAACAATGCTGCGTGTTTCTCAGGCATGGTCCTGGGCTCGCCTCCCTATGCAGTAGCCGGTGAGAGCTGCGTTAGATTCACCAGCCTCCGTCTATCATTATGTGGCTGCCTGGTCAATCTTATCTAATGATGGAAAAGCCGATCATGCCCCTCTCCTGCTAAACAGCCTTCTGTGGCTCCCCAGTACTCTGACTCCAAAGCCCACATTCCTCACTGGGGCTCACAAGGCTCCTCATGCCCAAGCCTGGGAACCTCTCTGCCCACGCACCTCTGACCCTCTCCCTCACTCTGCTCCAGCCACACCCACTCAAGGCTGCTCCAAGGGGCTTGAGCGCATTCTCCCTTAGGACCTTTCCCCTAAATCAGCTCCTCCTCAGGGTGGCCTTCAACAACCATTCTAGAATTGGTCTGTGGTTTTACCTGATTTTCCTCCTCACAAGATGCTGTCGGAAATTATCCTACGTAGCCAGACACAGTGACCCACGCCTGTCATCCCAGCAACTCAGGAGGCTGAGGCAGGAGGATTGCAAGTTCAAGGCCAGCCTCAGCAACTTAGTGAGCTCCTGTGTCGAAAAATAAATAAATAAAAAGAGCTGGGGGTGTGGTTCGGGAAGAGTGAGGCCCTGGATTCCATCCCTAGAACCACATACACCCACACCCACACTCAGCAGAGGAGGTTAAAGCACAGGCCAAAAGGCAGATTACGGGGGCCCAGCCTTGGCCTTGAGCTGCCACAGTGATGTCTTCCTTCCAGGTTTCCCTCTGAGCACCCCCACACTGGACAAAGGTGTGGCCCCTGAGAAGCCTGGCTTGGCCTGGCCTCCAAGAAGACTCCATTCCGGGGAAGAGGCAAAGTCAGGCTCAGACCCCTTGCCCCCCACCACCCCCTGCTTCCTGAGGTGCCAGAGCTGGTGGAGTTGGCAAGGGAGCTAGGAAGGCTTCCTGGAGGAGGGGGTCTCCGAGTTGGCGGTCTAGGCCATAGGCAGGAAGGAGGCTGAGCCTCCGTGAGGCTCATGGAACGTGTTGGGGCAGGGGAAAGAGCAGTGTGGCTGGGGGGAGGCTTCCCTGGTGAGGGGGCTGTGCTGGCATCCCAGGGGACACAGCCAGGCTGCTGGCCACCAATCAGGACAGTGCCAAGGACCAGGAGCAGCCTCCTCTGGCACACCGAGAGAGGAGGCTGTGGTGTCTGAGTCACCCGCTGCTGGGAGAACATTCGGCGCCCAGAGGCCCCGCGTGGGCTGTCACCAAGCAGGAACACGGCCCCCGGAGCCCCTCCATGCCGCCTTCCCCGGGGCCTCCCGCTCTCTGTTCCACAGCTGTTCCCTGAAGGCCACAGAAGGAGCGTGGGATGTGGGGGGGGGCAAGTGGCGAGGAGGCTGGAGGCTGGAGGGAGGCTGCTCCACCAGCACCCGGGAGCTTCCAGGTCGGGGGGCCTCCCTGGCGAGGGCCCAGAGGATCCCGGGGTTACCTGCGTCTAAAGACTGTTCAGGATGGGGAAACCAGGGCTCAGAGAAAGCTGGGTCGGTCTCCGTTCTCCCCGGGTACAGACACCTCGTCGTTGTTCCCTTTTAAGAGCCGAATCCCTGCCCAGGCCTGGTGGTAGGAAGCCGAATGTGCTCCTCCCTCCCCGGCTCCAAACTCTCCCATGGCTCCCCAGCACCTTCAGAACTAAACCCAGACCTCACCACAAAGCCTGCTGAGCTCCTGTGACCCCCACCGCGGGTCTCAGCAACCTCCCCACCCTTATTCCGCCCTGGTCACCCCGGCCTTCCCAGTGCTCTTCCAACAGGCCCAGTTTGTCCCCACCTCAGGGCCTTTGCAGATGCTTCTGTCCAGAGCACTCGTTGTGAATGATGACACAAAGAAGTGGCCAGTGGGAACGGGGACGGGAACCCAGGTCCACCTGAAGCCCCAGCCCCGCTCTTGCCAGCGGTGCTAAGTTCAAAAGAAACGTTTAGGCCAATGGGCTGTGGCGCTGACCGAGTCTCAGCAAGTCCAGAGCCCACGGCCACTGGCCGGGTGCCAAAGACCCTCATTCCTTCCACCCAAGCCCCTCTGCTCAGAGAGCACCGAGGCCACCACAACCCAAGGCCGTGGCGTCCCTGCTGCTGTGTCCGCAATTTCTCCGCCCCACTTTCTGCCCTCCACGCGGGTGGATGTTGGAGCCTTCAAGGACAATGAATCCAAAAATAATCGGGCGACCTACCTCCCAAAAATGGGGCAGCCCCGCCCAGCCACCTGGCACCCAGGAGGTAATTAGTGCATGTGGCAAACTAGGGTAATTAGCTCTGCGGGAACTGAACCTGGGATCCAGCTTTAGGGGGCTTCGGCACCCACCGCCTCCTCACACCCCCAACCCACCTTGGTCCTGGGACATTAAGTCCACAACCCAGTTCCAGACCCCACCATCTAACCCCACCCTGGCTCCGTGCTTCCCGGAGCTGCTCATTGAATGAATTACGTTTGGTCTTGGGCAGAATTAAGTTCTGAATTGAAGGCAGGGTCTCCCCTAAGAAATGTGAAATCACCAAATTCCCCTTCTCCAGGGCCCCCATGTGTCCACCCTGTATACCAAGGGACACTCAGGCTGGGGGAGTGAGAGGTGGACACAGAGACTGCCAACCATGGGGTTAGGCTGAGTTAGAAGGGAAAGGGATGGGAGAGGGTCTAGAGGAAGAGGAGGGAGGGCTTCCTGAGATGGGGGCATTGGTAGCAGGATTTTGAGGGATGAATAGGAGTTGGTCTGTAGGCTGGCCCAACTAGCTATGGCTACGGGACTGGGGGTTGGTTGAAGGGGCACACAAGGGGATGGAAGCTATCAATTTCAAGGATGTAATGCAGGTTGGACCCATTTCTGTCCTACAGAACTCATGCCTTATTGGGACCCTTCAACCCCTGAAAATGAAAATCTTAAGAATTTCATTCAGGGCTGGGCGTGGTGGCACACATCTGTAATCCCAGTGGCTTGGAAGGCTGATGCAGGAGGATCTCAAGTTCAAAGCCAGGAATTCAGCGAGGCACTAAGCAACTCAGTGAGACCCTGTCTGTAAATAAAATATAAAATAGGGCTGGGGATGTGGCTCAGTGGTCCAGTGCCCCTGAGTTTAATTCCCAGTACCAAAATAATAATAATAATAATAATAATAATAATAATAATAATAATAATAATAATAATAATTTGGTCCAGGATCAAAACCATATATCACCAATGTTTATAACAGCAAGCATTTATTAAGCACCTAAGGTCATGCTCTCTTTACATAAGAATTCATTGGATCCTTACTGTAAACCTCAGAATTGGGCACCACATATAATGCCCAATTTATAAGTGGGGAAACTGAGGCACACAGAGAGGAAAGTGACTTCAGAGTTGCACTGCTAGTAAGAGGCAAGGCTGGCTCGTGTGACTCTGGAGGCCATGGAGGTCCAAGGCTGGGGCCTAGGGATACCCACTTTCTGAAAGCACCTATGGACACTGCTGCCGGCTAGGCTTGCTCTAGGTGCTGGGACTGAACGTGTAAGAAGTGAAGTAATCAGGTCCGAGGTGGTGGCTGAGGCCCACACCAGGAGGCTGGACACACAGCTTTGGGGAAGAGTGACTGGACCTCTCCTACTCTGTTGGGTAGGAACCCTCGGGAAAGGAGAGGCAATTTAGCTTTGGTCCAACGACTGAGTCAGATTTAACCAGGCAGAGACAGAGCTGGCTAAGTAGCTGCCACTGCAGATGCAGCTTCACTAGTGCCGAGTGAGCTGTCCTGGTCCTTTCTTGGTCCCTCCTATAATACGAAGGTCATTCCCTGGCACCACTCCTGCGCCCCCAGCTGTCACATCTAGTCAGCTGCCTTCAGGTGGTGACCACTGCCTGCCCTTTAAGGACATTCCCATTCCTGGAAGAGAGGCCTCAAGTCCCAGGCAGAAGAGGGCTCAGTCTGAGCTCTGGGCAGCCCCCTACCTGTCTACACCCAGGGGACAGATACTGCCTGGACATTCCCTGCCCTTCCCCTCCACCTCCAGCCCTGCGACCATCAGCCCGTTCTCCAGGCTAGGAAACTGAGGGCTACACTGAGGAAGCTACTCCCTCGGCTTGCACTTGGCTGAGACAGCTTCAGGTCGAGTTTGCTCCAGGCCAGCCCTGTCCTTACACCTCCCAGAGGCCTGAGAGGGGGGGTGTCCAGGGAAGCAACTCAACTCTGCACTCTCTCTCACATTCTTGTTTCTGCCCACATAAGGAGCAAAGTCTGCCTGGGCCCCTTGCCCAACCACCCCCCTAGAATAGCCACATGGCCCCAGCTCTGCAGCCAGCCCAGTCCTTGGCAAACTGTGAGCAGTTTCCAGACAACTTGGCCTTTCCAGCACCTATCCCAGATACTTATTTTTTTTTAAATATTTTGTTGGTAATAAGAAAAAGTCACTCTCTGAACAGAACAGACGGTATTTTCTTTGTTCCCCACAATGTTCAGGCATTTCATGGCTTCAGGCCTGAGAACAAAGCCAAATCCTTTGCTTCAGCACATGCCTCATGGAGTCAGAAGCAGCTGAGGAAACTGAGGCACAGAGATGGACAGCTGCTCCTGTGCTCAGCAAAGCTGGGGACCAGGATGGGCAGCCCTAGAGAAGGACCCAGCCTGGTCCCGACCCGTATCATAAACAGGTAACAGACCTCGTGGCCTCAGAGAGGAAGGAAGACACAGGTCAAAATCCCTCCAAGCCCTGGGACTTCAGAGGCTTCCTGGAGAAGGCAGGAACGGAGCTGGAAGGACAGAGGAACAGATGCACGAAGAGAGGGCATTCTGGGTGGAAGGATCTGCAAAGGCCCGGAGGGAGGAGAACTCAGATCGTGGCTTGGGAGTAAGTCTCCAAAGACAAATGACCTGGAATTCACCTACAAGTAATTGGAAGGTAGCTACCAGCTCAGGGACGTGACTCACGCTGGGAGGAAATGGAAATAAAAGACGAGGGGAGAGAGGACAAGCGCAGAGGTCTCTTAGATGAAAAGCAACAACCTCTGAGGAAGTCAGGAAATTTAAGGGTGAGGCTCCGAGCTCTGGGGAACCGCAGACCTTGGTCCCAAAGGGCCAAAGGGAAGTTTCCAGAGAAAGAGCAGCAACAGGATTCACAAGTGGGGCCCTCTGGGGGGCTCAGGACTGAGGAGGCAGGTCTTGCTTAAGTTCTAGAAGGACCGTCTCCTGGCGAGTGTGGCAAGAGAGAGCTCCCTGTGCTAAACACAGCCTTAGGGGGTCCCCAGGATCCGGGAGCTGGACACCCCCAGCACTGGGAACCTCTAACAACATATAACCTTAATAATGATTCAACCATTCTTTTCTTTTTGGGGCTGGATGACAGGATTTCTGTTACTCAGACTGCCCTCCAACCTGGCTCAGCCTCCCCAGTAGCTGGAACTAACTACATTTTATTATTTATTTATTTATTTTTGCTGAGGAGGGATTCCAGGACCTCCCCTACTAGGCAAGGGCTCTACCACTGAGTCATACCCCCAGATCCTTTGATGGCATTTTTTGGGGAGAAGGATACAGGGGATGGAACTCAGGGGCACTCGACCACTGAGCCACACCCCCAGCCCTATTTTGCATTTTATTTAGAGACAGGGTCTCATTGAGTTGCCTAGCACCTCGCTTTTGCAGAGGCTGGCTTTGAACTCGCGATTTTCCTGCCTCAGCTTCCTGAGCGGCTGGGATTACAGCTGTGCGCCACCGCAACGGACCATCGCTGACATTTTTTACTGGTGTCTTGAGGGAGAAAGAGGGAGACGGATACCCGCAATCAGGGCTGGGAGGGAGGACAGATAGAACAGTTTCTCTCTTGGTCCTACTTCCAGCCATCTCCCGGCCTAGGTCTCCAGTTTCCTGGCAACACCCATTGAGCTCTATGGTATGCAGATCGTGGGAATGATTACTGCACCCCTCCATCCTCCCCAACTCCACTGGTGGGGGAAGGACCTGACCCCCATCACTGTTTGAAGGGGATGATACCGGGCACGAGGGCAGAGGCAGCAAAAACCAGGACTGACCCTTAGAAGCCTGAAGGAGAGTGAGGTCACATCTCTGTCTGATCAACTCTGTCCACCTGCTTCCTGTGCCTCCTCCAGTCTGGGTCTCTGCCTCATCCCGGATGTCCGTCCCTCTGTCTCTGTGTCCCCAGCTCCTCCTCCTCCTCCCATCCCCTGGTCCTCCCCTCTTCGCTGCTGCTTTTCCTCAGTCCCGGGGGTCCCCTTGCCCTCCACACCCCGGCCCTCCCTCTCCCTCCTCCCTCTCCTGCCCGCCGCCGAGGGCCGGCAGGGGGCGCAGCGGGGCGGCCTCGGGGCCCCGGGAGGCGGGGCGGGCCGCGTCCGCGTCGGGACCGGCCGCGATGGGACCGGAGGCGGCGCGGGCGGCGGCGGCGGCGGCGCAGACAAAGGCGCGGGCGGTGCGGAGGGCGGCGCGGAGGGCGCGGGCCGGGGAACCAGGGAGTGAGCGGGGCGCCCGGCAGCGCCGAGTCAGCGCCGCCACGGGGGCCGCACCCGACGCGCGCCCGGACACTGGCGGGCGCCGACCCAGCAGGGTGAGCCCGGCCGGCCATCCTGCGCCGGGAGCGCAGGGGCCGCCAAGCCCCAGGGCCCGGGAGAGGGTGCGGAGGGTGCGGGGGACCCCGAAGTTCTGGGCTCGGGGCCCGGGGGTGGCGCGAGGAGCTCTGAAGTTCCAGGGCTGGGGGAATCACCGGGGTCCCGAAGTTCCGGAGTCGGAGTCGGGGAGGGGACAGAGCGAGCGGTTCCAAAATTTCTGGCCCCGGCATTGAAGAAATCAGCCAACGGGTCCCCGAAGTCCCGGACCTGGGCTGGGAGAGCGGCGCAGAGGGGGTTCTCGAAGTTCCAGACCAGGGACTGGGGGGTTGGCAGGGTCTCCTGGAGTTCTGGGGTCGAGATCAGTGCCAGTGTCTCCAAAGTTCCGGACCCGGGGTTGCCGGAGGTAGCGCGGGGCGAGGGAGGAAGGACCCCAAAGTTTCGGACCTGGGTTGGAGGAGGCAGAAGTGATGTCCCCAAAGTTCTGGAACCGGAGTCAAGGCAGCGTTGCGTGGATCGGGGAAGTTCCAGGGTCTGGGCGGCGCGTTATGAAGTTGGGGCGCATACGGGATGCCCTCCTGACGCGGGTGGGACTGGATCCTGAATGAATATCAGGCCTCTGGATTGGGGCGCTTGGGATGAGGTCTCGCCCCCAGCCCGATTGGGGGTTCCTGGGCTCTGCGAGGTGTTGGATCCCCCTTGGGGAACCCCGCGGCCCGCGGCGTCCTAGGCGCATGACTAGTTGGTGAGTAACTTTTCCCAAACGCTGCGAGTCACGGCAGGAGCCGCCGGGCCGGAAGGGCCTGGGTTCCGGGGACCCCTTCAATCCTCAGCCCCTGTCAGTCTCAGGACCCGCCCCCAACCCAGGCCTTAGCTGCCGCTCCTCCCCCACCTAGGGGCTCCGGTTTCAGACCCTGTGACCGGGATAGCAGCTGCCCAGGACAGGATGGGGGGGCATTCCCCCCTCTGACCTCGGAGGCGCCGGGCTGGGGGCCACCCCTCCCCCTCCTGGAGTCCTACTTCTCCAACCCCCTATTGGATCCCCTGCAGATCCCTGGGATGTAGGTTTGGGGACGCCTGAGGACCAGGAAGTCTCCTCCCATCAGCATTGCTGGCTTCCTGGGACGGTGGCTATTGGAACCAACTGGGAGGCTGTGGAGCCCCCTTCTCCCAATCTTGAATGTGCTGGAAAGTACTGAGCAGAGTTATCCTTGGCCTTGCCACCCAGCCCGAGGGTGGAGAGGCTTCAATGGGGAGCCCAGTAACCAGAATGATGAGAAGTTTATATTACATGTTAGGGGCCACCTGTCTTCTCCGGAGCTGCCTCCTGCCCAGAATGTTGTGGGGCTTTCCCCAAATGGAGAATGATGGGGTCCTTTCTCTCTGGTACCTCCTGATTGTCATGCCTTTTTGATTAAAGTTCTATAAATGGTACACCTGGTGGTGTCCTGAGATTGGACCTGTTGGCCTTCTCAGCCTGACCTGAGAGGACACTCACAGGACCCCTCTGTCCCCAGGGGCCAAGCCAGCCACTCTTGCCACCCCTCTGGCTGCTCCTTAGAGCCCACCCAGCCCAGCCTGACCAATGTCCACAGCCAGGTAAGCTCCCACCTACCTTACCCAGCCCTGAGCTCCTTGGAGGTGCTTGTCCCCCACTGAGTCCCCTCTCCCCGTTTAGGGAGCAGCCAATCTTCAGTACACGGGCACACGTGTTCCAGATTGACCCGGCCACCAAGAGGAACTGGATCCCTGCGGGCAAGCATGCACTTACCGTCTCCTATTTCTACGATGCCACTCGCAATGTCTACCGCATCATCAGCATTGGGGGCGCTAAGGTCTGCAGGGTCTGGGTGGGGTATAGGCACTAGAGCCCCAGGAGATAGGCCTGGGTCTGGTCACTGCCTTGCTGGGTGCTCTGGGAAACAAGGAACCCTGGCCCTTTCTCGGCTCCCATCTCTTCCTCCTGAAATGGCTCAGAGCAGTGACCTCTGAAGCCCTAAGACAAAATGGTGCTCATTCATCCAGGAATTCATGTGCATTGTCATCAGGCCCTTCAACCTTGATCTCTGAATCCCCACAGGCCATCATCAACAGTACTGTTACCCCCAACATGACCTTTACCAAAACCTCCCAGAAGTTTGGGCAGTGGGCAGACAGTCGTGCCAACACAGTCTACGGCCTTGGCTTTGCCTCTGAACAGCATCTGACTCAGGTAGGTGGCATGGGGGGAACAGAGGGGAGAGACGGGCCTGGGCCTAAGTCTTCACCTGGTCTCACTAGGGGACAGTGCACAGGACCTGGCCTCTGTCTACTCAGTGGCAGAATGGGTACACAGAGCCAGGCACAGTGTTGCACACCTGTAATCCCAGCAGCTCAGGAGACTGAGACAGGGGGATTGCAAGTTCAAAGCCAGCCTCAGCAACTTAGCAAGGCCCTGTCGCAAAATAAAATATAAAAAGGAGCTGGAGATGTGGCTCAGTGGTTAAGCGCCTCTAGGTTCAATCCTGGAAACAACAACAACAAAAACAATGGGCACATAGAATTAGACAGGCAGGTGGCACATGCCAGTAATCCTGGTTACTGGGGAGGCTGAGGCAGCAGGATCACAAATTTGAGGCCAGCGTCAGCAACTTGGTGTGAGCCTGTCTCAAAACTTAAAAAAAACAATAAAGAAGGCTGGGGATGTAGCTTAGTGGTGGGGCACCCTGGGTTCATTCCCTAGTTCTGGGGGGGAAGACGAGCAATAAGCCCCTTCTAGTTCCCTGGTTTGAATCCCTGTTCTGCTGGCCACTTGCTTCAATTTTAGGTACACCCTTGCCCTCAGGTCATCGCCCTGGTGCCTGGACTAGGGGTCCTTCCCCACTTTCCCAGCAGTACTCAGCTGTTACCTCCCTTCTTCAGGATATTTTCTATATCCATTGTTCTTTTTTTTTCTTTTTTCTTTTTATGATTAATACTTCCTGTACCCTGAAGATTTTCTCTGTTTTATTCTAGAAGTATTATAATGTTCTTTTCAAGGTTAGGTCTTGAGTTAATTTCTGTGGGTGATGCAAGGTAGGGCCTGAGGTTCATTTTATCCCCACATGAATATTAAGTTATTTTTAGGCATTTTGTTGTTGTTGTTATTGTTTGTGCTAGGGGATGGAACCCACGGAGCTGCTTTTTTGTTGGTTGGTTGGTTGGTACCGGGATTGCTTAAGCACTGAAACACACCCCAAGCTCTTTTTATATTTTATTTAGAGACTGGGTCTTGCTAAGTTGCTTAGGGCTAAATTGCTGAGGCTGGCTTTGAACTTTCAATCCTCCTGCCTCAGCCTCCCAAGCCTCTGGGATTATAGGCATGCACCAACTTGCCCTGCTCAGGGGTCTGTTTTTGAAAAGATAATTTTCCCCCAGTGAATTACACTGAATACCTTTGCACGAATCTAGTGGTGTGACTGTAAATAATTTTTTTAAAAAGTTTTTGTTTGGAGGTATTGGGGATTGAACCCAAGGACTTGCTCATGCTAAGCAGGTGCTCTACCACTGAGCCACACCCAGACCCTAAACATTTTTATTGATTGATTGATTGAGATGGGGGTCTGCCTGTGTTGCCCAGGCTGGCCTCAAACTCCTGGCCTCAAACTCTTGTCTCAGCCTCCCACGAAGCTAGGAATACAGGGCATGCCACCACACCTGGCTTTAAAAAAAAAAAAAAAAGGTTTAAACAAAGGGAACTTATTTTAAAATTAAAACAAAACAAACAAACAAAAACACTTTCTTTTTTTTTTTTAAAGAGAGAGTGAGAGAGAGAGAATTTTTCAATATTTATTTTTTAGTTTTCGGCAGACACAACATCTTTGTTTGTATGTGGTACTGAGGATCGAACCTGGGCCGCATGCATGCCAGGCGAGCGCGCTACCGCTTGAGCCACATCCCCAGCCCCACAAAAACACTTTCTATCTTAACTGGAGAACCAGTATTAATTGCCAGAGCTAGGTGGTAAATGTAAACGCTTGGCTTAATGAAAACTGGAAGCAGGTAATTACTCTTTGACTGTCGATGCCTCTCAGGGGCTCCAAGACCTCCTCTCTCTGTTATAAAGGAATGTTAACAGGTGTTAAAGAAAGGTCAGCACCAGCCAGAGGCTCTCCTTGTTGAGATAAGCCTGACAGAGAGGAAAAGGGAATCCCTTTCTTAATGTCTCTCAGTGTACTTACTGCCACCTCCGGGAACATCCCTCCCACCAGGGTACCCATTCTGCTCAAGGGGACATCATTTTCCAACGTGCCCCTTTTGGTTTGTGAGATAAGGGGGTATGCACAGTTCCTAAGTTCCCTTCCAAGGTAACAATGCTGGCAGTGGGTGGGAGTGACCTGGTGGGAGGCTGGAGAGGGGCTGGAGAGTTTGTTCACCTCTGCTTTCCACCCCCCAGTTTGCTGAGAAGTTCCAGGAAGTGAAGGAAGCAGCAAGGTTGGCTCGGGAGAAATCTCAGGATGGAGGGGAGCTTACCAGCCCCGCCCTGGGGCTTGCCTCCCACCAGGTGAGCATTCCCTGCCCCTCCTCCTAGCATCTCTGCATCAGCCATGCACTGTGTGGTACCTAGGAGAAAATGCTCACAGATGACCTAACAGTAGACCTGAGGCATGGACCGTGGAGGCAGGACTTGGGCCATGGAGCA